TTTTCGTTATTTTCATCATTTTCTATCTCCCCGTTCCCAGGCCGTCCAGAATATGTTGCAGGGGTCAACCGTTGTTTCAGATGCAACCGCGCCGGACTCTGAGCCAAGGACTGCAGAGTCGGAAGCCCTTTTATCGCACAGTCCAACAGAAGCGGTTTCCATTATTCGAGCAGCCCCATACCACTAAGCCCGGATCAGGAGGATTCAATGAAGGGGCAGTCAAATATTAGCGGTAGCGACGCTCCTTTTGACGAATTTGTCGAGGTAATAAGTGATTACGAACATGAAAGTTTGACGGGGCCGGCCATATTGCAGGTCAAAGGTAGTTTGAGGAGAAACATATCTTTCTGGCACGATATAGGTACGCCAGAATTTATTTTATCGGTCATTCAAGACGGCTACCGTCTTACTTTTGAGACAATTCCCTCCGGGAATGTTCTTAAAAACAATACGTCTTCTTTGCATTATCCAAAATTTGTAGAGGAAGCAATCTTAGAGCTCTTGCGTTCGTATCGTGTGGTAGAAGTCCAAGCTCCCCCTCATGTGTTTAACCCTCTCTCTGTATCTGTGCAACCCAACGGGAAGAAGAGATTAATCTTAGATTTAAGGTACGTTAATAAGCATCTTACCAAACAAAGAGTCCAGTACGAAGACTGGAAGATAGCCTAGTCTTATTTCCAGAAGGGAGCGTTCATGATTTCGTTTGATTTAAAGAGTGGCTATCATCATATTGATATTTGTCCAGATCATCAGACTTTCTTAGGTTTCGCGTGGAAGTTTTCAGGTGATATCAAATTCGGGTATTTCGTATTTACCTAGCCTGCGAACAGGCTCCTGACTTGGAGGAGCACAACGGCGCGAAGCAGGGGAAAGGTCCCCACGTCTGATTGAACGGGGAGCCTGTTCGCAGGCTAGTATTTACCGTCTTACCTTTTGGATTGGCCTCAGCCCCGTTTATCTTTATCAAGTGCCTTAAGCCAATCGAAAAATATTGGAGAATCCATGGGATCAGTATTGCTTTATTCCTGGACGACGGTTGGTTAACTGATTCGGATCAAGCTTCCTGTGCAGCGTTAGCGGTCTCCGTTAGATCTGATTTATGGAAAGCCGGTTTTATTACCAACGACGAGAAGTCCCAGGGGACTCCTTGTCAGGTCATCGAGTGGTTAGGTATAGTATGGGACTCTAGTCACGGAACTATGCGAATTTCGGATAGACGCCTGTCTAGTATTGCGGGCTCCGTTCAAAGAATGTCTCAAAAACACTATATGGTGTCCGCTAGAGAATTGGCTTCCCTAGTGGGTAAGATTATTTCCGCGGGTGCAGTGTTTGGGAGCATATCCAGAATTATGACCAGATATTGCTCAATAGCTGTCGCAGCAGCGCAGGATTGGGATTCGAAGTTTACTTTAGATGAGTATTGAGAATTTTGTAGTTTTGTAATAGATTATAAGTTGTTCAGCGGATGGACTGTTCTGAAGCATGGTCGGAACACCAATTCGTTGTTAGGCTCTAAGAGATTTTTTGGACAAATGTTAGCGGTCCGTATGAAGTTTTGATTGCTTGACCACCGGGTC